ATTAAATAAAACCATCAAGAATTAGTGTCAATCAAAGTAGCAAACTTCTACCCTCCTAGCATTTCTTAGAAATGAGAATTAGATCCTTGCTGATCATGCACTGACACCAAATCATTATCACCTATGTTTTCAATTGTATTTTCTTGTGGAAGAAAAAAATTAGCCCAGGGACATGAGTTCCTTTCATCGCTGGGTTAGTAGGTATTCCAGGACTCAACTGAGAGTACCTGGGGTTAAGAAACTAAAGTGCCATAATAAAGAATATACTGTTCATCAAACACCTGCCGTTTTCTTGTCAAAAATGAGACTTTTGGCATGAAGATCCTATCAATAATTATTAAGGTTGGCAGTCTGAGCACTTGCAGCAAGACAAAGCGGTAGCAGAATGAATCACTGAGTGTCCAGTGACTTTGTAGGTGAACTGTAGAGGAGTGTTGTTTACCAAAACATTTGTGTTACAACATTGCTTTTCCTGCTCTAACCCTCTAGGTTGCACCATATGTAAAATCATACCTACCTATGATACATGCCATGTTTCTCCTTTCTTTCCAGCAAGATGCTGATTGGAGGAATGACGTAGACCTGAATTAGCTAGATATATGTGGGGTTTATTTTCTTTTCATTAAGATTTCAACATGTGATACAAAATTTATGAAGAATCTGTCAAAGCAAAAGCAGAGACAAGCTTCCCCCTCCCAAATTATACTATTCATGATAAACTGGAAATAATAATTTAAAAAAAGATTTTGCAGTTAAATGTGTTTGATCCTTGAAAATGAATGAATAAGCAAAGATTTAATGGAAATGTGTGGGCCTTTTTAATTTTAAGGGTTATTCCACCATGCATCTACATCATGCATACCTACTTAAATACTGTAGTGGTTTATGGTAGTGATGTTTTTAGATGATTTTCTATAATAAAGCTTTCAGCAATGCAACAATGCTCATGAAAATAATAGCATGGATTTAAGCTTTGTGTAAGCATTTCTATTGGAATATGGATTTTTGGGGGGTGAATGTACTCTCTCTATGGCAACTTGACCAAAACCAGGATGGCTGAAAGCAGATGCTGACACATCATGTTACACACTACTGGCTGAATTTCTCACGGGAAAAACACTGAAGCCTTGCCAGATCAATTTATTGTCTCTTTCCTAAAATTCCAGACAAGGAACCAATGTATGAAAAACCATACAAATATATGGGCCTGATGTGACACACTGTGTGCTGAACCAGCCATAGCAGGGTTGTGAATACGTGTTTCCAGTCCTCAGAATTGTGAGTGCACATTGGATTCACGAACTACTAATGTGATGCTACTTGGCTTTCAGCATATGGTGTAACAGTGTCCCTAAATAATCTACTACTACTTCAAAATATTTACAAACTGTGTAATTGGAGATTGCTAAAAATCAGGCAGTGCTTTCGGTTCGGAAACACATTAAGTTAAATTGAACAGGATGGAATATAGAGCTACAAATACAAGACACTGTCATTTGTATTGTAGGATTAAGTATGTCATGTCTATAATCACGGCACATTACAACTGTTTGAGCCATTCATTCACTAGACAGGGCAAGAAACCTGTTGGAACTATGCAGATAGTTGTCTTAATTACACTAGTAACACAATATCACTTTATGTTTCCCTAGTACCTGAGGATCCCAGAACTTCTCACTCAGATAGAAGTCTATTGCATTTGCATTACTGGTCCTGCTTTGGTTTAACGCTTAATCAGTGGAATTATTCAGGACTGACACAAGATTAACTGAAATTGGAACATGGTTCAAGAAAAAAAATCATGTGCTTATTATGCCTTTGGCGGTTCACTCCTGATGCTAAAAAGTAAATAATGATTATGATGACTATTAGGAGGAAGTATGAAAGTTGATTAATGTTCTCAGAAAAAATAAAAAGGAATCATAAAATTAAAACTAACATTAAAAAAGATGGTTTCTCTTTCCTTTTTAATTCCTACCTCTGCTGCTTAGGTATTTTTGATGAATCTAGCCCCCAACCATTTCAGCCATAAGGAGGAGTTTCTATCTAAAACACCAGTAAAAGAAAGATGGAGTTACTACTCTTTCAGAATCTGACACATTTTGAAGTGTTCAGTCTGAAATGGGATCAGCAGCATGCAGGCAGCTTTGAGAGAGAACTAAATGTGTGAAGGAAGGTCGATTAGGCATGAGACTGGTGACGAATGACTGAACATAGAAGTTGATAAAATGCAAGCTTATAACCACTAAAGCATTTGACCGCTGCAGAAAATTTTTAGGAATTAAGTACATATTTCCAAGTTTTTGTCAGCCTAAATGCAAAGGCTATTGCATACAATGATCATCAGGTTATTTAGAGAGAAAGTCTGATTTTTTACAGGAGTAAAGCACTCATTATTGTGCTGCAAATTATACAAATTATTGACTGATTTTTTTAAAGCAAGTCTTACATTCTCTAGTGGCTACACTATATTAATTAAACATTAGCTCCCCAGTAGTGCACTCTTCTGTTGTATTCCTGTCATAGCTTGCAACTAACTTCAGTAGTGGGAATTTTTAATAATGCACACTAGTAACAATATATAGTTAATCTTTGAATTTAAGCACATCCCCAGGGCTTTTAAAGTCAAATACAGGCTTAAGTGATTTGCAGAACCGTGACCATAGTGTCTATAAACTAGAGATGGGGTAGATTTTCCTAACAAAAACAATTACTAAAAGGACCTGAACATAATCATGTACCATATATATAAGAAATTATATCCTACTCAAAGTCAATAACCAAGTTTTTGTGAGATCTTTTATTTTCTTTTTTGATGATGCAAGTCCTGACTAAAGGGTTATTCCAAAAAGTAGAAGACTGACAGTAGAATAAATCTCAATCACTGCTGCAGATACCATGTTACATTATCTTCAGAAACAGGCTGAACATCCTTCCTCAACCACAACTGATCTGTCTCATGTACTAGAGGTAAAGTTCTTAAATATGTTGTGGAATGAAGATCTGGATGGAGAATTTGATCAATGGAATGACGTTTAATAGTTTATAACAGCAAAATAGGACATGGAAAATGCTTAATATGGACCACAATCTAAATGCTGCAGAGATTTCAATATGGTGACATAACCATACTATGATCTATCTTTCTCCTTCATTACAACAGCGCTCTTTTTAGAGGATATGTGTGCACAAGTATTGAGTATGTCTCGTGTATAACTGCATAGACTTATTAATTTCATTTCTTTTTGTCATTTCTGTGTGACTTTTCTGTTGTTGAGTCTGTTTGGATAAACAACACTCCACTTCATAACACATACATAAATGCAAGATCAATTTATACACACCCATTTATAAAGTTGCAAAAAAATATGAAAAATAATGGCAGCGAATGAAACAGAAAATATGATGTTCTCTCTTGGTTTTGGTGGTTAACTATACACATAGGAAAAATATCAGTAAAACCCAGTCACCATATTGATCAAAAATGACAAGGATGTTTTATAATCTAGTTAAATCACTGGAGTCTACGGCATGCTTTGCTTCATATGTGAGAGATGTGCAGCAGATACCAAACATGCACTCAGCAGGTCGTACTCAGAACTAACTCTGCACATCTTGGGTGCTAATTACAATCTAAGATTCAGTGAATGACTTCCCAGCAGCACATACATTGGAAGTCTTCATGCAAACCCTAGGCAAATCATGCATACAGTTAACATATTCACTACACTTTCTCCTGAGTGTTAACTCTGAGATATATCCACCTGTAGAATGAATTTAAAGCATTATTTTTGTCCGTGGAAACACAATTTAGAGCAACCTTCAAGGGCAGTACTTTCAGTAAGTTGTTGTCTGACTACAGACGTGAAAAAGTGATGCATAAAATATTATAATTTCATGTAAATGTAAACAAGACAATAGGAAAGAAGGGAAGAAAAATAGGTAGCTGGAGGACATCTCTTTCCTTGAAAATTGTCGTTGAGGTGGATGACAACATTATATTATGAGTGTGGTTACTTAGGGTAAAATTGATCACTGGTTAATTAAAAAAAAAAAGTACTCCAAAAGAAAGATCTCCTACTTTACCCTGACATCTTTTATTTTTATTTAAGGTTTCCACGACTTGCCTTTTTTCACCAGGAATTCAGTGCTAAATCAAATAGTCTTACCAGTGTTTATGAGTGCTAGGAATCACTAGAGCTCACAAAAAATTGCAAAGCAAATGTGTGTGGTGTTTAGGCTGAAAAGCCAAGAAAACACCAAATGTGCTGCCACATATCCTAGTTATTCAAAATTATTATATAAATTTTATATGGAGAATGATTGCATGCACTAAAAATGGGAATGACGATCATCTCAAATGGCCAATCTCTGTCCTTTAATGAGGTGGAAACTAGCAAAAGGGATATTGGCTTTAAAAAAATGTAAATCACAAGTTTTAAAACTTCTAAAGGAAAATTTTAGGATTTGTTGTGCATTTTTAAGCTGTTCTAGGGATGTGTGGGAATTGTTTGGCTTAAGTGGAATGCATTCAAGGTTACAAGAAACATGAACATAAGCAACTTTAGGAGATCTTCCTAAACTAGAATTCAGTCCAAAGTTAATGTAATCTTTTTGCCAAATCTCATTGCTTTCAATGAACTTTGGATCATGTCCCTGGCAAGTATGAAGCACAGCAGACTGTCCGATAAGTCTAATAATATTTATGCCTGGTCAATATGTTAATTTCCAGATAACTGACATAGAAAGAAGTTTTGGATTTGTTTTTAATCTTGTATTTATGCTTATTTGCTAGGCCTTTTAAAGAAAGGTGAAAGTTGGCATTAAAATGCACTTTAATGACTTCTGGATTTTAAAAAAAGTAAAACTCAACCAAAGTAATTTTATAGATCCTGTGACACTCTGAAAATCAAATTCAGCTGACGTGTCTTTTTGACTTTGTCTTTTTTCCTATGTGTATATTAGAAATCTAAATTGGTTACTGTTTTATTTGTACTTACAAGTAAATGCTGGATTCATTGCCCCCGATATCAGGTGACTGGAGTTTCTGCACAAGTATCACAATTATGCCAATAAAAAGCACAAAGTTTACCTAGGGGAAAAAGAAAGGAAAAAATTATGACAATAAAATATTTTCTTTAAGTATGAGAATGAGACATTCCCAGTGACTTGCTGGCTCCGCTGCCTTTATTCTTGTACAAACTGTAGTCTAGAAGTTTTATAGGGTCAGGAGTAATGGAATAAGTTTACAAGGGTCTTATAGCTCCGTTTCCATGTGAAAATATCCCCCTTGCAGCAGCTAAAGGCAGAATTTCTTCAGTCCCAAGTACCAGATAAGACAAACATAAATGAAAGGATTTCAACATTTTTCATTATCAATCGGTGCAAAGAATAAAAAGAAAGATCCCTGTACATCGAAACCATATAGCAAAGATCTCAACATTAAAAACATCTTTAACGCCCATTCTCTGAACTAAGGCACTTCTCATTTTAGAAGTATCCATCAGTCACAATATAGTGTCTCCCCTTTTCTGAAATGTCCCAAGTTGTGTCACTTTCCCTCTGCTTGGCTGAATCTGGCCCAAGCTGAGATGACCTCATGTTTTTGGGAGCGGAAGCGGGGGGAGCGTGGGTGTTAATGTTCATCTTCATGTCTTCTAGTTTTATGTTATCCGGGGCATCTTCTCTTTCATAGAATCATGTAATTACAGATATAGTTCTAAAAATTTGGAGATTAATAAAATGTCTTGTTATATCATTTGTAAAGCCATTTGAAGCTATTTGCATTGGTTATTTGCCCTCAGAAGCATTGAGGAAGCACATCCTCCAAGTGCTACTTACCATGATTGATCCAACCACAGGGCCCTTGATAACCCACCACAAGGCAGTGTTGTCATTCATGTCCCAGCAGCTGCAGTTGTTAATGAAAGAATGGGTTGGGGAAAGAGTAGGAAAGAGAAAGATAAAGATAAAACATGGAAGTTAATAATCTTATAACAATTTTTAAGAGGGCAGAGAGTGGGAAATTGGTCTTGCAGCTAAATGATTTTATTTAGGTTCAAAGGTGCTAGTTCTTTAGTCTATCCCTGTTGTAGCTTTCTTTTACAGCCTTTACTGAACTTACCTGAAAGTAAAATAAGTATTTTTTGTGGCAATTTCAATGGTAACTCTTACTAAACACTTTAGTTATTTTGGAAAACATCTTTATGTGTGTTTCTGTGTCTACAGACAGTACAACTGTAAAATTGTCCCTTTAAGCTAACATCTCAGTAGAAGGGGAAAAAAGACAGGGACACCTAGAAGGGTAAGAGATGGTTATTCCAAAGTTACTTTTCCAGGGTAAACAGATATGAATGTTGGTTCCTGACTCTGACATGATGATTCTTACACATATCTAGTACACAAGGATGTACCAGAGACTGGTTGTATTCACATATAGGAATGATTTTCCAGTCATTGGGTTGCAAGTCTTACCAAGAAGCAATGATTCGTCTAAAAAGGTTCAAGTACTAAACAGCAGTACTTGTCAGTCAGCTGGAGTCAGCTCCTTTTTTAAGCTGTTAGGAGTGAATGATCATAAACAAAATGGCATTTCTACCTCAACATTTAAAATCTTCCTCCAGATTCACCAAAGGATTCTGCTGAAGGTTATTCCATATGAATACATTTGGACATTTATTTGTAGCGAAAGCTAAATACAGGACCCATATCCAAATGGGTTTTTAACATATATTTTTAGAACTAGAAAAACAATAATAATGAAAAAAAAATTTATTTCCCCTGCCACACCACCCCTGCTACACTATTTTAAGTCATTAAGAATTTGATTGTCAATTAAAAAATGTCTTTTATTTGTCTTCGCTTTCTTCCCCTCATGCTTCCCTCTGGAAAACATAAAATCACCGAATGTCCACTTTCTACCTGCAGTTCTGAGAAGGAGGGCTTCCCTCCCACTGGGACAACAGCCAAAAGTCCCAGCAGTGGTTGTCATGGTGCATTTGTCAGACGCCAAGAAACAATTTGAAAGGAATAAAACACTGCTGATCTTATGAGAGCTTAATGCAACTTCTGTGTCATTTAAATGGTAGTCTGGTAACATCTAGGGGAAAAGTGAAAATCTTTACTTTAAATAAAACTATATACATGTGTAAGTGTGACGAGTCAGAGCTAAAATTCCGTTGTCGAAGTGCATAATAGAGAAATCCCAAGTAGCTGAGTGATGTCTGGTTTAGAAATTTCAGTTGAACTTATATTTTCAGTTGAACAATATTTATTATATTTCAGTTGAACAATTTTTTGCTGGATTCCCATAAAACCAGCAATAAGGATGTGTGTGGTAGAGCTGGTGAGAATAGAGAAAATTTAGAGCTGGGATGTTAAATTTGCACAAAACTGCCTATTTTTCCTTCTATCTACAAAACCTAGAAACTTAAAATCCCCCAGAATCTATGGGACTGATGGCTGAGATTTTCAAATGCAAAGAAACATTTCTGAGTTACCTCACTTTGGATGCCCAACTTCATATATTTGAAAGGGGGCAAATGTTCAGAGGGAACTCCTTCTCACTCAGTCTGGAAATCAGGCTCTTTTCAGTTATAAACAATCGTACGCCACAAGACAAAAGCACCTAAAATCATTCATTATCTTTTTAATTCTTCGTATGCAGCTATAAATTAGGTGCCCTCTTCTGAAAATTACCCACTATTTGCAGAGCTCTGCCTCTTTAAGATGCACATTAAATCTACCCTGAAAGCCTTTAGTGAGTTGGCCGATGCTAGGCAAAGAATCTGGGCAGTTTCTAATGCTGATCTGGCTGTACAAACAGGCATTGATGCAATTTACCTGTATAGAAATGAGAAATTACAGGGGACAGAATCTACCTGCTCTAGATCCAGTCATCTATATTGAAGACATCTACAGCCCAATTTGTTAACCCAGGTTCTGGTTGCGACAAACAGATGCTTGGAGGTTGTTGTTTGGGTTTCTTGTTTTCCACACTGAAGGTTGGATGTTAGGAAGAACTTCTTCACTGTAAGAGTTGTTAGGCATTGGAATGGGCTCCCCAGGGAGGTGGTGGAGTCACCATCCCTGGAAGTGTTCAACAAATGTTTAGACATGGCGCTTCAAGACATGGTTTAGTGGGTTTAGCGGGCATAGTGGCATCGGGTATGTGGTTGGACTTGATGATCTTTAAGGTCTCTTCCAGCCATAATGATTCTATGATTCTTTGATGCATTTTAAAATTGTACTCTGGAGTGATACATCATTCCCTACAAATGTCTATTCTTCTTAGACCTATTCTTCTGCTTTTACAGGATGTGTCCTCAGCAAGCTCAGTTGCCAAAGTCTACCTCGTAGATGTCAACAATGAATCAGATCAAACCCACACAAAGGTTTTTTCAGGGACTTTTTTGGTCCAGTCCCTGTGATGTCTATTGGATGTAATGTGGTGGAAGAAACACCATCTTCTCCTCAGATGAACATGACCAGAAGAAAAAAAACACAATGCACAACAGAACAGTCTGTAATATCAGCCAACAAGTTGTACTACATAAACAGGCTCCCTAATTAGTTTCAAATGCATTGCTACAGAGGAAATCAGACACACAGGACTCTTTTTTCAGGATGGATGAAGGGAAGGGAGCCAGTAGGCTGGGGGAGAGATGTGATTTCCATTTGAAAAGGCCAAAGTCTGATCTCTGTTACATCTCTGGTGTACATCTGGAACAACTCCATTTAATTCAGTAGCACAGCTCTGGATAAACAGACAGTTGCATTTATCTCCACAACCCTGTCACTTACAGTGATATGAATCAGGAGCTGAAGTCAAGGGAGCTCTGCCAGTTTTATAAGGAACAAGCAGAAGGAGATTCAGACTCAGACTCTGTATTTTAGTCCCTGCCTTTGTGACTGTGGTTTCCCAGTTCAGTAATTTCTGCAATGTTTCCAGGCTCATGCTGGCTTTTCCCCCACCCCCAGAACAATGCTTGATGATTTTAAAAGTAACCATTGAGACGCTCAGCTAGAATCTGTCTAAATGTGTTGCATGCTAAGTAGTTTCTCTAGCTAAAAGAAAAGAAAGGTTTTTTTGGTTTATTTCTTCTTTCTCATTCTGCAAGACATTCCCCCTACCCATAAAATACAAGGACTGTTTGGACTCCTAAGAGAAATTAATGCATTTAGACCAGTGATGTATTCATAATAATGACACAACAGGGGGTTCTGTTTTGTTTTGCACGTAAATAAATGATTTAATTTGTCTTAATGTCATAATAGAACATTGGGTCAAAGCACTGGCATCCCCAGTGGAGGAAGGGCTTTATGCACTTTCCAAAAAGCCCATGAAAGAGCAAGGATGAAGAAAATCTGACAGAACAGTCAGTCTTGTGCAAATTTTGGAGTCAGGTATATGTCATATAAAGCAAAATTAAAACATAAGTCTAAATCTCTCAAAAATGGAATTTGGTTACATAAGGATGCTTTTCACTCAGATCAAGGTTTTCAAAGAACCACTACTGGGTTTTTGAAATTTTATTCAGTCTCCCTCATTCCCAGCATTTTTCTAATATTTCACCAATTTCAATCATGGCTGTCACAAAAAAAACATTGCTAAGTTTGTATCTTCAGTGTGTACGTACGTGTCCATTCCTACCAGCTATGTCTGCTGCTCTATCAGACCAGTCAATCTGCTGTCTACCGAGACGTGCAGGACCATCTCTGGAAGCAGCCCTTCCTTCTGGGCCTCTAGAAAAGACTACAGGATGCTTGCAGGATTTTTCCCTACTGAAAGAGACCTTTTGGGTGAAATCTACCCTCTTGAATTCTTTCCGAAATTATTCCATTTCCTCATTTTTTTTTTCACACAGAAGAGAGGAAGAGGAGCTCTGTCTCACCCGTACTCATCTCCCCAAATAGATTTGCAGAAAAAACTCTTCAAGGGGAAGCTAAAGTCCTAATTGCCTTTGTAAATCAAAGCTCAGCAACACCTCGTATAGATTTTACTCATCGCATCAGAGATATCTGCAGTAATTTCTACATCTGAGCTCATCACCTTCGTCTTCCTTCATAATTAGTTGGAGAGGAGTAGATAATCACAGGTATGATTCACCTGAAAGTTCTTTTAAGATGAGATAAACCATATCCTGGACTCCCCTAACTTAACTAGGCAGGAAATGGAGGACCACTGGGTCAGCTGCATGTTTACAGGGTAGATGCCTACGTCTTCTTTTATGAATTCACCAGTGCAATAGTGGCATAAACACCAAACGATGGCTACTTATGCAGATGAACAGGAAAGTACTCTAGGTTGGACACTGGACCTAGACTACTTGCATACACAAATCAACGTCAGAAATGGAAGGACCAATTAGTCATGTTCTCAGATCACTGTATTTCTGTTTCATCCTTGCCACCGTGCTGAATGCACGTGAAATGATTTCCCACACAGCAATACCTACCCAGTATCATCAAAGTGAAGTCTCAGCACTGCCCAGACAGTGACACAAATTGTTGGGGTACCTGCAGAAGATAAGATGGTGATATCATTAGCAGTCTAGACACATTTAGTACTCAGCAATGAACACTTTTTGCAACCTCTCCACTGAGGCTTTATTTCCTAATAGCACTCGTGCACGAAGCAATGCAATTCATTACATTAATTCAGAGCTCTAGAAACATCCATCGCAGTCAGAGGATGGGTTATTCTTGGTGGGATTGCAGAAGCAAAACTGATAACAGGAAAGAATGATGCTGTTTCAGGTCATTTTTGCTCAAAGTTGTTATATTGAATCTCATTGCATGAACAGTAATACATAGTCTGTATGAAATAAAAGCAGTGACATCAGCTTCCGTGTCTAGAGCTACTGTAATTATGCAATAATTGCAGCGTGGTAGATAATGAGCTGTAACGGTATTATTGCATTCTTTGTATTCTTATGTGGTTTTGTTGTAAATAATTTGCATATATTGCATTTTCCCTGTTATTGTGTAAACAACAAATCAGTAGAGGATAGTTTTCCTTTACTCACAGGAATATTTCATTTTTTTTCATGAAAAGAAAAACCAAACCCCCAAAAGAGAATATTGGAAGCAATAATTTAATTGCTATTTCAAACATATATTTACTCTTTAAAAAATGCATGTAAAATATAAATTAAATCAAAACAATAAGAGTCCACTGAGAAACCTGGATTTATTTTCCTTTCTGAAAAAACTAAAAGTGTGGCTTTTCAGTGGAAATATTTTTATAAAATAATACAGTCTTGCAGGACAGCTCTGGGTTAGTTGGATCTGCATTTTATGGCAAATAAAATCTTTGACTAGGAAACTGTCTACGTGTATTCAGGCACCACTGGAAAGACAACGTGCTATAAAGCAAACAAAGCAGCGATGTTGATAACCCCAGCTTGCAGCAGTGAACGAGACTGTCATAAGTTGACAGGAACAATTATGTTTCATACATTTTGCAAGGCTGTGTTGATGTCACATTAATTAGTCATTGACTGAATCCACTTGAGTGAATCTCTGTCAAATCTCATATTCCCGTTATCAGAAGTAAAAATATCCCTGTTAGACCTAGATGACTGATGAAGACCTCTTCCTTTAAAAAAACAGACACAGATATATTTGAAAGGAAAATGATAAAAAGAAATAAAATGACAGGCTTTGGGGAGAAGAAATCATGCACATTTAATTTAAATTGAAGCCTGCTTTTCTCACGTAAGAATATCTAGAAAATATTGAGAACTTTGTGCACTTAACAGATGCACAATAATAAAAATAATCTTTAAATATCAGACATGGGTCTCACGCTATCTCGTTTGTGCTGATTTGCACTATATAAATTTTGACAGCATAAATACTGTTCCAATTCAGAAACAAGGACAGGAAGGCAGAATTAGACTAAATTTGTTAAAATAATATAGTTTAAAAAGCACATTTCAGATCAGCTTGAAATTTTGAACCATCTGCTATATGAATATACATATACTCACATTACTTTTCTTTACATCAAAAGATATATGTGTCTTCATCACCTTCTTTTCAACTTCTGAGTAACATTAGAAAACAGACAAGCACCAAAGGCTGAGAAGAGAGCTGTGTCTCATCTTGTGTAAGGAGCAGGCATTAGCAGAGATCTCAGGAAGACAGTAGTCTATCCAGAGAACTTACCAGCACATTGCATATTTAAGAGGAAAAAATTGTCTGAATCAACACGGCCATATGTAGTTCTCATTAGTCAAAGGAGGACACTGATAATGCTCAGCGCATTTTAAGAAACAGATAAACACCCAGATGCTGCAAAATGCTGAGGTCTTGCTTTTTGCTGCTTCAATGCAACTCCCTCCTCATCAGCTCTGAGATGAGGGACTGCTTTTGCCCTACATGACTGGCATCCAGAGTCTGGAAGTTTTTCTGTTCTTGCAAAGTGCCAATTGCTCCTACCAGGTCAGGGGAACTGCTATTCCAGTTGAAATACGCAGGAGTTGAGAAAATATTGTGTTTAAAAAACAAAACAAAACAAAACTGTCTACATTTGGAGATTCTCTTGGTGTTATTAATGGATATTATTGATACTACTTTGAATACAAAGTGTTATCTATAAACTGAATAGCAAGATATTATTTATGGTATTCAACTCAAGACCAAATATTTTGAGGTTGCATTACAGAATGAATCCATCTGGGTAGTTCTTTCATTACAGAGACTGATTTAAAAAAAATAATCAGTTAATATGCTGTATTGCAACATTCTCACATTCAGATATTAAATTTGTGCAAACTTAGTTAAAGGAACCTAACCTTCGATTTATGTTCAAACCGCAAAGATTTATACATTGTTTTCTTTTATAACTGTCACTTTAACATGTACATAACCCCCAAATTCTCTTTGTAAACAGCCTTATGTCTCAGCTATAATGTGATTATACATCTGTGGATAGTACAAGGGGAACTTCAAACATCCTTTTCCAATAGTTTCTTTTCCAATAGCCTTTTCCAATAGCCATCCTTTTCCAATGGCCTTTATATGCCTTAGGTAATTTCTGATCACTTGTTCTCTTCTTTCTTCTCTATATCTTTGCTCCTATCGTAGGGAGTATTTGCCAGGAGATGAGAATTTTGTGTATATACAGCTGCCTCAGGAGGCAAAAAAAAACCCAACTGTGGATGACTTGGAGGTTCAGGTTACATGAGAATTTTTTTTTCGAAGGAGAAGAGTTAAAAACAAGTGGTTTGGATGTAGACTTTACACACAAATATACAGGATTATTTCCAGATTATTTCAGAAGTATGTTTGTTTAAGTATGAAAATTAAGCTTAACCTCAATGGTAAGGAGTAATCTTAAGGGTATGTTTAAACTGAATGTGTTCTACATTCACCATCTGACTTCTCCACAAAAACGTCAGCAAAGAATTGTTTGAATTAACATGTTGCAGGAATCAATTTATCTCCAGAAGGCCAGAATGAAAAATAATTACACTGGTTATGATCATACAACCGGCCTTTCCAAAACAAATCTTATTTCTTCCATTGCAAGCTTCCATTTAGCATCCAGGTAGGATGAGCATATGTGGATACCCTTTAGATACATTTTCAATTTAGCTATTATCTGGAAGAAAGGCACAAATGAAGTCTTAGAAAATGGACTAGACTTAGCATTGCAGATTTGATTAAGCTGAAGAATTTGGCATTAAGATCATATCTTGCAGAAGGCAATTCTCAGTTGTGGACTATGTCTCTGCAAGAGATGCAGTGTCCTCCAGATTTCAGTTCAACTGTATTCGGACCAAAAGGCACAACTCAGTTCAGTCTGCACTGGTACTTCTACACAAAGACTGAAAATGTACTTTGAAACTTTATGTGGAAATATTAGACTGTTCGTGGAGTCGTCTTGCACATTGAGACACATTTTAGACAAGAAATGTCACATACCCCAGCCAATAATAGTGTACCAGTAGAAATATCTCCTCTCTGGGAAAAAGGTTTCTACCAATAAAGTGAAAAGGTACAATCCTTCAATGAAAAGCCAGAAGTAGTTGGACATGACACAGTAGTGAAAAAACACCATCACTGCTTTGCATTCCACCTGCAGAGAATTGAGAAAAACAAAGTTATTTCCAAGTTGTTTCTGCCTAACAGATAGGGAAAATGGTTTCAACCCCTTCAAATCTCTTAGTGGAAAGGAACAGAGCTGGGTCTAATATTATACACTTTTAATAACGAAGTATTAAAAACATGAGAAGAATGTGAGGTGCCACTTAGAGAGCAAAGCTTGAAAGGGCAGGTAGCCAATTTTACCAGTGGGAGGTGGTTGACAAGCATCTGCAGAGAGCTTGAGAACGCTTTGCATTAGTGGGAGTTCACATCGTCAATGAACACTAATTGCTAGATTTAAGCCCCCTTCCAAGGATTAAGCGCAGAGAAGAAAAGAATCCAGTCGTGTATTGAGAAGCCTAAAGAAGGATGTGAAATGGTAGGATGATTGTGGAAAGCCCTGAGAGCAGGATCAGAATGGATGCACCCTCTTGTGTGCAGTTGAGAATTGTACTTTCTTGCCATTTGCAGGTGTTGACGCTCAGGGACAGAAAATGAAAGTACGCATAAGTGTAAAGAAAGCAGAGTGATTTACTGTAAAAACAATAGAGGCTTTTATTAATTTATTGGGGGAAAGACAGTAGTCAAAAGAAAAAAAGAAAAAAAAAAAAAGAAGGAACTGGGGTTGTTTAGCCTGGAGAAGAGGAGGCTGAGGGGAGACCTGATCACTCCCTACAACAACCTGAAAGGAGGTTGCAGCGAGGTGGGGGTCGGTCTCTTCTCCAAGTAACAAGTGATAGGATGAGAGGAAACAGCCTCAAGTTGCACCAGGGGAGGTTTAAACTGAATGTTAGGAAAAGTTTCTTTACTGAAAGGGTTGTCAAATATTGGAACAGGTTGCCCGGGGAAGTGGTGGAGTCACCATCCCTGGAGGTATTTAAAAGATGTGTAGATGTGGTACTTAGGGACATGGTTTAGTGTTGGGCTAGCAGTGCTAGATTAAAGGTTGGACTCAATGGTCTGAAAGGTCTTTTCCAACCTAAATGATTCTATGATTCTATGATAAAAACCTTAGGTGGAAAACGAGCTCTACCTTGACTCTGTGAGAGTAGGACACACTTGTCTTTCCAGTGTTGCAACCCAGTGAGACATCATTCGTCCTACAAAAGTAGGACTTTTCAACAAATCAGAGCAGAATCAGTGTATAAACTGGAAGATCCTGCCTGAGGCAGTGGGAAGCTGACAATTTTGACTGATTCCCACTTGCACTCCATTGTCTTGGCCAAATCTACAATCAATGCGTTTATCAGATCTTGAGTTTTTTTCATGGAAGCTCTACCAGGGCTGAAGATCTGGTCACTAGAGGCTGATTTTGATGTGTTTTATGTTTCATGTGTTTCAAAACAAAGAGGTAGATGCCACTATTAGAACAGTGGTATGAATAAACTACAGATCTAACATGGCTTCAGCTTTATCACGGAGAAGAATTAAAAGCAAAAAATACTTTCAATGACAAAGAAAAGGCTGACTAAGAAACTATACAGCTGCACTTTCCTTGTGGGGGAAGTTTAGCTCATAGGGAATTTAGCTCATAACTGGATGGATAAAGGAGATCTCAGTTCGGGAACTCACTGTAATTCCATCATAATTACACCCAGTGAGCTGATTTATCAAATACTAACCTTAAATGTGAAAGAAATTGGGATTTACATGTAATATAGAGCTGAGTGCATCTGTGAAAGAGACTGCTTTCGATGAAACCACACACTTGAGAGATGAACAACGTGGCTAATACTGATGATTTTTTGAGTGTGTGACCATCAGGGATATTTTCTATGTCTGAATGATCACCCTGTTTACACATGACTCTGTCTGACATCCAGAACAAATAAGGCTCTGGAGAAAAAACAGACCTTCAGATGAAGGAAATGGCTTGTGTCTGCTCTCATCCCACCTATCACTGTGCAGATCTGTGAAAGGGAGAAACAACCTGACTATACTCAGAAACCAAAATCTGTAGATTTGTCCTGAAGGACAGATCTCTGGACACTGATGACATCATGAGATAATAACATCCACAGTTTTGCAGTGAACCGGGAGGGAAGCTTACCAGTAATTACCCTCTCTCTCAGTAGCTTCTCAGCTTATGATACTCAACAGACTGCTGCCTGCCTCACTATTTTTTGTTATCTCATGCTGAAAAAAATAAAGGAAAAGGCTTTGGCTTTGGTATTACTTACCGTTGAGATAAAACAGTGGTTGCCATCCTGTTCAGCATAAAGAACCCCATCTTTAATGAATACAGATATTGCACGTAGGATGAATGAAACAAAGAGGTTCATGTGGATAAAATTTCGAGTGCAGTGAAGCTTCCTAGAGAGGAAAGACCAAAAGAGAGGAAAATAAGAGAAAAAAAAAATAATACTTTTCTTTCATGGAAATAGCACCCTAGGCCTATCTGCATACATGTCCAGAGCACCTTGGTGCTAATTGCAACATCTGAAAACCAGGAGTGTGGATAGTACCGACCCTAAACCTGACCAAGCGGAGAATTTGGAGATTTTTTTGTAAAGGCATGCAAGGTAGCATAAAATAGACCCAGTCCAATGCTGCTTCTGCAGTTGTGTAAAGTAGACCCACAGCTTCTGTAGTTGCATTTACAGTCTACCAAAATATGGCTACTGCAGTGTGTCCAAGCTGGGGGAACAACTCTATTAAAGGGTTGCCTCCCTCTTATTCTACATCTGGTGAGACAAAAGCTTAAACATTCTTTTGGGCAGCTCCAGTTTCTTTCCTCCAGTGACTGAACAGCTCACTGCTCGTGTCTTGACTCACCTGAAACGACACAGGATAACCATGGCGGTGGTGAGGGAAACAAGAGAAGTGCTATATCCCACCGTGTACAGAGCCTTCACAGATAGATAATAGTAATCCTTGGGAGACAAACAACACACGGTTAAACAATCCCTCTACGGTCACATCTTCTTTACCCTGTCAATATGCAGGTGGGGGAACTATAGGCAGGATTTGTTTCTTGAACAGCCTGGTTGTTTTCTCCTCCTGGCTCCCCTGAGATCTCACTGTATATTAGAGCATGGTTCTATGTCTGGCATGCTTTTGGGTCTGCATACTGTGAAGCTTATTTGTTAGTGAGCTAGCAAAGGCTGTCTATATTTCTTTGACCACTGTGCATGTATCTGTAGAAAAAAAAAGTAGTTGGCTAAGGGATTGTTTAGTCAATAGGGGAAGAATTGGGGGCTAACCCATGCTTCTAGAAGTTACAAGCTGTATCAACAGTAAACACTCATATTCCGGAAATATTCAGTACAGGGCTAGGAAGGATTTAAGTTTCACTTCTCACATTTTTATGCCCATAAATATCTGATTGTTTCATTCTAATCACTGTCAAATCAGAACATGATCAGAGGTTGGACAAAAAGCAGCCTGCTGCTCCCCCCTTTCATATGTTTTTAATTATAAGATTAATTCCCACCTGGTTGTCGGACTCTGTTTCATTTTCATCAAAGCCGCAGGCATCATAATAATGAGGAAAAGGTTCAGACCAGCCATCTTCAGTGCAATTTCTGCTGATGTCCCCTATGCCAAGTACAGTTGGGAATGTGACTTTGCTGAAGCAACCTTCAGGACATATCTTCCCTCCCCTTGATACATGACCAAACAAAACCCCACGGTACTACTGGGGATACTATTTATCTGGCCATCCATAGAAGACTTTAATGGCATCTTGAAAGTTTAATGATATCTTTAATGACCCAGTTCTACAGTAGCACCTATGGTTGGCTACTACTACAGCTGGTCACCAGAGAACAAAAAAGATTTAATCAGTATAGTCAGTGCCTCCAGGTCACCAAAGATCTCATTGTCAAGTGTGTACCCAAAACAGAAATCAACTAAATGTCCATTTCTGTCCTTTGACTCTGAAAGGCATCTAGGGAATACAGCTTTGATGTAGACATCTACACTTCAGATGGCTAAAGGTTAAGTTCAGTGCTTAAATATAGGCGCTTTAGGCTATTTAAGATGATCTGTATCTGAGGCATATGCATGAGATGGGCAAGAAAACACAAGGTTAACATGATTTTTTGGAGTGGCTGCTGGAAGCCAGGCAAGATACTGTAGGATGTCTAAACAAGTCATTATATGTCTATGGTGAGGCAGTTGGATTGTTCTCCCATAACATGTCAGATAACATGTATCCTACTCATTTATCTTCAAGTCTAGATTCTCATCTGAGAGTGACTTTGTGAGAAGGGTCTGTAGGAAAACAAAATAAAGATGGAGTGGGAATCTCTTCCCTGTCTCTGTCTTCATAGCAGTATGTCCATTTACATCTCTGGATGCTCAGTGTGGCTTCAGTTGACAATTTCAAAACTGTCTCAGAGCTTCTCATATTCTTCTATTACCTGTTCCAGTCCTTGTTTATAATCTTACTCTGAAGCAGGCGTTTGCAAGGAGGCTCAAAACTGGCTCAAAGAAAAACTCATTCTCTTTTTCTCTCTTCTTACCCTAATTGTTTGGCTAATCTCATACAAGGACTAGCTCCTAAATGGCTTTCACTGACACAGTCAAAAGGCTTAAAATTGTATTGGGGAGCAAGAGCTGGGGTAGAAAAGGAAGGTGTCTCTTGACACTCACTTTATTACTGAGTCTGCCTGAGGTGGGATGGCCTCTGTGGTGCTTTTTTTAAGCACCATTGTTCTTGCCAGAGCTCAGTGACCTGGTTGAAAAATTAGAGCTGGGTCTCTGGCTGCACTTATTCCTTTCCAGCACAAAAGAACAGTTTCCATTTATCAAACTATTACAGTTTTTGGAGTTTGAGCTGTACCTTGACCAAAATTGAAGGAAATTTCCAAGTTTGTTGTGGTTTTGTTTTTTTTTTTTTTTTTAAATTAAGGTTGTGCTGCTTTGCATTCTTAGAGCGGTTTAGTCAAGTAGCTCATAACACTAGAAGTGACCTTATTTTTAGAGAATTTGTTTGCCATCCATGCAGCAGAATATATCTATTTAATCACAGCATTCATTTAAAAACATTGCATTACTTGGTAAATTTTGGTAAATTATTCTTGCACATTCATCTCTAGTTTTCTGTGGAAAATAACCACTGAATCATGGTGTTGACTTTCTTTAGCATCATTTAGTAATTACTGCTAAACAGGTATATATAATTTATAACAACATACTTACTAGATTGCAAGGCTTAATAGTGGAGGAATAAATTTTCATAATACTGCTAAAAATAACATACCAGAAAATGTGTCACCATAATTAGAATTGATTAGAAAATAATACCTAAATGGCAGGAAAAAAAGCTTGGAGCTTCCTTTTTAACAGAGATAAAATAAAAAGAAGAACATTCCATCATTCTGTTTCTTACCTAGGGGAGACTGGGCTGTGCTTTCCAGCAGGTCATAATCACCTATAAAAGTGGAAATTTGGTATGAAATTGTTTTGATTGTGTTTTCTATTAGGACCCAAGCTGATCTCTGCAGAAATCAGTGAACAGGATCCAATTGATTTTTGTCTGTTTGGATCAGGCCCAAAAGCAATAAATACTTTATCTGTCTTCTCAGGAAGTAAACATAGTTTTACTTGTGAGTTTTAATCAAAGCTGAACCTATAAGATTAGAAAATTGCTACCGCAAGCAGTGAGCACTTAGCTAAAAAACATACAATCAAACCAGGACAAATGTTATTGTAAAAATATAAAAGTCAACTATTGTATCTTTAGAAATTTATATTTATAACCCATAGATATTTAAGTATGGTCAGTTTTCACAGAATTTATGAAAAATTATTTTTATCTATCAGTGACAAAAAGCAATAATTAATAAATAAGATAGTTTAATTTTGTGGTTTTAGGTTAGATCACATTGATTTATAGAAATTTATCAATTTTTATTTTCACTTTTTATCGGAGTGTGGCAATGAACTACATATATTCATTATCATGATGGTTGATACACAAACAACTTTTCAATAATCTCATATTGTCATGTGCTCTACATATAATTTTTGAGAACAGAGGTACATAGACCGTAGTCAGCACACCTGGTTCTTACCTGCATGGGTTTGCCCCAAGTTATCTACTTCCCAACCTGAAATTAGAAGAATAAAAATAATTAATTCAATCTTGATAATAGTGTGCAATTTGATTTTGATAATAGTTTGCTTCCCATAAGAGCAATGGATGTAGCAGAGCCCAGAGAAGAACTGGAAGAAAATTTTGTTTAAATCCTTTCTTCAACATCAGTACTGTATATTTATGGCTGGAAAGTGGTTTTCAGAAGATGGTCTATTGCATTGTGTTGTTAAATTTCAGGTTATCATTGAGTTTCATCAAACTCTAGGAAAGGTATGAAAAAGTTATGAGGGAGCTTTTTTGAGGGTTGCTTTCTGTCTTTTTTTTTTTTTTTCTTTTAGAGGAGAGGAAAGGTTTTGAAATAAGAAAGTCCCCCAAATTTCCCAAATACTGTGCTGAAATCCATACTGATTTGTGTGCTAAAAATACAAACATTACAATGGGAAATTGTAAAAGTTTGGGTTTGCATTAAAATTTTTCCTTTTCCTTTCTTTTGTGCTTCCAAAATGAAATGTTGGGATTATCTCAAATCAATCTCCTATCCGCCCTACTAAGTACTTAAACCGACTTGCACTGAAGTCAGATTTTCCTGAATCCTCGGTGGATTTTGGCTCAAGCTCGGTGTTGGAGGATGCATAAAGAGGAGCTGCCTTAAGCCACCGAGTGGTGCTGCTGCATCGTGCGGCCAGAAACACCAAAGGAACCCGACAAAGCTGGCTGCAAATACCTCTGCCAGTGGCCCATCGACTAGTGAAAAAATGTTTCCAACATTTCATCGACTGCTATGGCAGGTTAAATGTTTAGATTAGCTTGGTTCTGTATCCCCTGGACTAACCACAGGGCTTCAGGTTGTTCTTATTTAACCCTGAACATATGGTCAATTCGTAAGTAGGGATTGGAAAAGCCATTCACCAAATTGAACAAGAGGGTTTTTATTAAAAGTAAAATCCAAACACAGCTTGATTTTGATCCTATGGGAAAGGAGAAAGACAGCATCTAAGGAAACAAAATAAGAAAGAGACTCTTCAGGACAGAAAAAAAATGCATTTTATATTTCAGAGTTTTTCAAATTCCTTATCATGTAATAATTTTAAGTTCATTGATTTCTCTCCTCTAAAATAAATCAGCTGTGCTTTTTGATCTTCTAAGACAGAAAACAGAGGGTTTCCTGTGAAGATGATGGTGGAGTCTAGAAGACTAAACTAAAACATCAGGTAGGCTGTACTGTGTCTCTGAACAGCTGTATTCAACACCAAACCTACACGTTCAACCCGCTAGCTACTCTGAGGGTTTATCCTGAAAGCCATGAAGAGAACACCCTTGGTCTCCTGGCTTCTCTGCCCAACTCGAGCTGCTTTCAAGATTTCACATATCAGAATTCTTGGATGTTTTCAAATATTGGGTAGCTGTACTAATTCTGAAAAGAAGTCACCAAAGTTCTGAGCAAGTATTTTCCAGTGAAGAACGCTCAACCTGCTGCATCAGACTAAATTGCCAGATGCTGCAGAGGTGCTATGGCTGTGCTCCAGATTCTTGGCAGAACAACAGGGATGCCCCTGCAGAATATTTTGGATAGACTTGTTTCTTTCCTGAGCCTAGCAAAACCCAGGTTTGTTAACAGTGATATAGCTCAGATAGAGATGTCTATGTCCCTAAAATCTGAATTCAGATTATCGTCTTTAGGATCTCCTGTGGCAATTTTTAACCTGTGTTTATTAGGTAGAGGATCAAAGAGCAAGCCACTGTTCCAAACAGTAGCTTGTAACAGTTGCTTATGTGAGGTCAACTCACTTAATAGCCTAAGCCACAGAAACAGGGCAAGAAGAAACTGCAAAAAAATTCCAAAAAACTTTTTGACTCATAAAAATCCAGTTTTAGTTTCCTAGTTGTACAGTGTGGCCTAAATCCTGAAATGTGATATTACCAACTTTCCAGAATCCTTGTTGGAGGCAGACCAGGCTAATATTAGGTAAATGGAAGCCCGATGTTCCTGGCATCCTGACATATTACACTGAGGGCTCAGAAAAATGTCTTTTCTGAAATTTAAATGTATTAAATTTAGTTATTTTTTTCCTATGATCTAAAAAGTTGAGGAAAAAAATTAGTATTATTTCACTCGAAATACAGGTGGTAGTTAGTCACACTGATGTTAAAATATTAGATTTTAGTTCATTATGAATTTCATGACATTTGTAATAACAGTAAAAACATCATATTAATGTAGTTTTGTGAAATGAAGAAGTTTTTTATAGTAACAATTTTTTTTATATACCCAAGTTATTATTGCATTTGAACTATGTTTGGTCGCTATGAAGGCATTTATATTTTCAACAATGTTAATTTTCTGATTGCTGTAGGAGCAAACTTGCCTTTTATTAACATATTTTTCTATATCTTAGCCCTTACTAATGTACTGAAGAAAGTTCCTATACAACTTTTTACTATACAGGCTTTTAGGTTTGATCCATCAACTTAATTTTCACTGATAAATTAAGTTACTGGAAAGTCAATTAGACTTACACTGAACATTACGACCTGAATTACAACTAAAAGCCAAAGTTCATCTAATGAGTGTTGGGATAACATACACACGTACACAGTTATATTTGTGTGTGTATGCGTGTATATATATATATATATATATATATAAGCACACAATAAGGGAACATACAGCCACCATCTGGCTTTAAATTTCTGCGTGCTGCTGCTGCCCTTCTCTCTCATACCATCTGTTTATGTATCCTGCACCAGAATATGGATGTTTACATGACAGATAACTGTGCCAATGACTATGTTTGCTCATATGTATAAGAGCATGATGGAGTTCATTTGGACTATTGCTGTGCTTAACATTTAACATATCTACATATATAGGGTCAAGGCCTGAGCTTGCATTTCAGCTGGGGTTGTAGGAAGTCCAGACACAGGGCAGTCCCTCTCATTTTTCAGACTATTGCCCCGATGCTGTGTTTTTGTGTTGTTTTTTTTTGTTTGTTTGTTTTTGTTTTGTTTTGTTTTGTTTTGTTTTGGTTTGGTTTTTTTGTTTGGTTTTTTTTTGTTGTTGTTGTTGTTGTTGGTTTGTTTTTTGTTTTGTTTTTTTTTTTCACCTGAGTGCTTTTCTGGTTCTAGAGACACCCCAGCAAATCTACCCTGGTGTAGGTGATGTAATGGATGAAATTGTAGTGTGCCTCACTGCACAGGTTTTCACATGAGTCCTCTCATTGCCTTACTCTTAGGATATAAACAACGAGAGACTGGTGCATTAGACTTCATTGATGAAGCAGAGAAAGCCCATCAAGATGATTATACAACAGGCTAGATGAAATACATTATTCTCCCAGAAATGAAGAATAAATAAAATATTATTTTCATCTGCATTTTGACTTGAAATCGATTCTTCAGAGGTTTAATTCAAGATTACATTCATGATGTACATGAGTGACACCTGTGCTCCTCATGAGCAGTTAAATAACAGCACAGCCCAAACTATGGAAAGATGGAGAGAACAGCAGATATTAAACAGTGTCTTCAAACACCATTTATTAAATCAATAATTGTTCACATTAGTCAATAACTCCTAAGGAAGCTAATATTATCCTTGACAAAGGATGGTTTATCCAGTATATTGACAGATAGTGCTATTCACTATTTGACCAGACTGAATCGGTAAGTGTCACTCTTTGGAAGTAAAGCAAATCTTCCATCAGTGCTTTAACTGGCATTATTAATTAGATGTTACTTGCAGTACTACTTAGACACCTTAGAGAAGATCCATCAGAATGCTGAATTGACCAAAAGACCAAACAGAGAAATCAAACAGAGTAAATACTGCTTATTTCTATTTTCTACATGAAGAGGTGAAAGGGGGGTGTGGGATGTGGAGGGAGTCAAAGGACTTGCCAACAGCTTCCCATAGCGTTAGTGGCAGAGACACAGATCTTTCATGCTCTTTTCTTGCACATTTATCACACTTTCTTCCTTAGTTTTCATTTGCTGAATCCCAGAAAACATAACTAACTCCTTACTGTCCTCCAACTGAAGAAAAATTTGTTGCAAGCGATGGTTGCTTCTAATTTAAAGTGAACAGGACTGGCAAAGCTAAAGCCAAGGAACAGTCTGTGTACAATGAGCCACGGAGCTCAGTGCAGCCTTTTAGATCTTTTCCTTTGTGCCAAATTTGTGCTGGCTGCTTCCAGTGTCAGCTGGCACGGCAACTGCTTTATCTCCCACAGGTTTGTTTATCTGAACACAACTTTCATTTAACCCTTTTGTTCCGGCATTTGTCCCTTATTAGTGGCAGGGAGAGGGAATGAAAGGTTTCTAAAATTATTCAGTCCTGAAATGGCTTGCCCCCACTTTTCCCATATTCCTGTTGTTCCCATCTCAGTATTATGGGTTGGAGGACTGGTCCAGATAGGTAATCCTCCAAAAGGTTGGATTTCGACAGCATTGAGATCAATGTGCAAAGCTCGCACTGTTTTTATTGCATGTTAATTCTGTCCCTTCAGAAAGTGCAGAGAATGGGGCAGAGGGAGGTTATGGAAAATATTTCCTACAATCACTTGTTATCATACCATCCAGATATGTCAATAATGACCTGGTTAGTCAGGAATTCAATTTTTTCCTGTTTTATGTAGCACTGATTAGAAGCTTAACTTTTAATTTACAAACACGAAATAAATCAGTGAGCTCTCACGCCCAACTCCACAGCATCCACCACACTGTGCCTTTTCTCTCCCTTCTCTATTGCTGCGTGCTGCTCTTATGCACCAGCAATCTGTTCGGCCGGCTGGCAAAGCCGCAGTTGGGAACAGCAGTCTACTTAGCAGCTTTTCTGGGGCTTTCTGAGCTCCCCATACGGGTACCACTTACACACTCTGTCCACTGCTTCTAGTGCCCTCTGCCCAGTCCTGTACCTGAGGATACATGATCCCATATGCACACTATCCAGTCATGCTGGTTCCTTCATCACGGCTATTTTTGAGGGGGTGAAAGTGATTCAGAATCAGCTGCTAG